GGCCTCGAACTCACAGAGATCCGCCTGGCTCTGCCTCCCGAGTGCTGGGATTAAAGGCGTGCGCCACCACCGCCCGGCTTGTTTGTTTGTTTTTTATTCTGTGGATCACATACCAGGGCAAGGTATAACCCAGTAGGAGCTTACACACAGGCCCTGTGCATCCCAGCTCTCTCTGTTTACTCAAACTATCCCTTAAGCATCCAGTGATACTGTTCCTTCACTAGAACCTTACAGACATCCACCCACAGAGTGTGGCACCAGCCAGACAAAACAGCTAACATCTTTCAGCTCATGCTTGACATTTAGTCTGGAAGATGGAGCTTTGGGAACTCTGAAATGGCAAGTACAATACATGTAATACACACACACACACACACACACACACACACACACACACACACACACGGCAATGGCGGGGATTTTTGGAGTGAGTTTCTATGATGGTGCTTGAATGTTTACTATCACACAGTAATAAGGAAGCTTCAGTTTATTGGCTCTGGGCTCCTCTACTTTCTGACTGCAAATGGCAAACAGGATGGCTTGGCCTGGCTCTTTGCTCCCTGTTAGTCTTTAAATTGCATCACAGTCAATTATAAGGCACACTAGAACAATCCCAAAATGGAAATTTCAATTGATTCTGGCTGACATTGGTGGTTAGTTGGATGGTACTGTATCATGTGTATTTAAGCCCCTGTTCTTTTCTGCATGCCCACAGACCACAGCATAGCTGTGAGATGAATTAGGCCTTTGGTCTCAGCAGGCTTCATCGTGTACTGGAAGCCCACCTTCCCTCTCTTATACTCACCACCCTAACTGGAAGGCTTCTGTCTTAGTTAGGGTTTCTATTGGTGTGAAGAGACACCATAACCACCACAGCTCTTATAAAGAAAACATTTAATTGGGGTGAAGAGCTCACTTACAGTTTCAGAGGTCACCGACTTGCACAAGAGCACATGATGAGTGTGAGAGGGAAGAAAAAAGCCTCCAGGGCACCAGTCTGCCTCATGGCCTGACTAGCAAGCACCCCCTGCATGTGGGAGAGCTCTATTCCCATAGCTCTACCCCAGACTTCTAGAGTGGATAGCAAGTCCTGCTTGTTCTAAACACTACCACTTTTTTATGTTGCAAACAGCTGAAACCTCAGGTGCCACTCTGGCTACAAGCCTAACATAGTTTTATTACTAAGTCATGAGGTTCTTGAAGGCAGATTCTATATCCTGTTCATTTTTTAAAACACCCTGTCTGGTGTATAACACAAGCCATACAGTGGATGTTGTATGTGTTTGTTAATAGATAAGCAGAAAAATATAAAATACTACTCTCATATAATGTTGTTTTCAGAAGTACAGTACAACAGAAATGGGAAGCCATGGTATTTAATGTGCCATCAAAGGAACAAGACAGGTTAGATGAGGATGTGTGTATTGGTTACAGAAATGTTAGGTGAACTATGCACACCGGATACTTTATGAAAGCAAGGGTCTGGTTTCATCTTCTTTCCAAAGCATTTGAGGACTTTGTAGGTTTTTTGTTTTTCCAGTACATTTTAGTATTTTCTTCTCAATTAAATTCTGGCCCCTAGTTTTCTAGTAACTTACAAGGCACTTCATGATAATTACCAGACTGTGTTATGCAGATGAGTCATCTTACAACCTCAAGGACGTTCTCGGCACTTGGAAATTAGGAAAGGAAGATGTGATGCGTATTTCTGTGGTGGGTCCTGGCAGGTCTCTGTTTAAAGAGAGACATTAATAAAAAGATGACAGCATGCTTTGTCTTCAAGTTCTCTTTGGTTGAGGAGAAATCCTTGCATCATTTGAAGCAGAAGAGGTATATGTGTTCTTCTCACAAGAAATGCTGGCTCTGTGGAGACCTCAGAGCCTTGTTTCAAGAGAAATCAAGCAAAACATGATGTGGTGGTTTGAATGAGATTAACTCCATAGGCTTACATATTTGGATACTTGGTCCCCAGTTGGTGGAACTTCCTATCTGGGAAAAATTAGGTGTGGTCTTCTTGGAGGAGTTGTATCACTTGGGTTGGGCTTTGAGGTTTCAAAAGATTCACATTATTTCCGTGTCTCTTTCTCTGCCTTGTGTGTAGTTGTGTCAAGATGTGAGCTCTCAGCTACTGCTCCAGCATCAATGCCTGCCTGCCTGCTCCCATGCTCCGCTCCATGATGGTCATGGTCTCTAACCCTTTGGAACAGTAAGTCCCAAATTAAACACTTTATTTTAAACGTTGCCTTGGTCATGGTGTTTTATCACATCAATAGACAGAACCAGGATGACCTGCTTTAATCTCTGTGTCAAGAATGACATTGCTGTTGGGAGATTGTCAGAAAGCTTTATCTGTGCTCACCAGACTGCCTTGGATTGCTTCTAGTAGACAAACCGGGGATCTATGAATTCTAGGGGAAGAGTTCTTGTCACAATCCACGAAGCTGTGCAGCTAGCCCAGTCAAAAATTCAAACATTTTGCTAGGCGGTTGTGCCACACACCTTTAATAATAGCACTTGGGGAGACAGAGACACACAGATCTCTGAGTTTGAGGCCAGGCTGGTCTACAGAATGAGTTCCAGGACATCTAGGACTACACAGAGAAATCCTGTCTCCAAAAACAATAACAAATAGAAAATTGAAACATTTTAAGATTTGAACTGCCCACTGAGCCACACACCTGGTTTTGATGCCCCCTGTGTTCCTCTGAGCCAATGTGCGTCAGACGCTTTGAAAGAGGGCTGCGGACACCTGGATTGGCTGGGTTATTTTGGGGGGAGGGCGGGGCTTCTGTTTCCTCATGCCTCTTGAGCACATTGTCTCTTTGAAATCATGTGTAGAGGCCGGGCGGTGGTGGCGCACGCCTTTAATCCCAGCACTCGGGAGGCAGAGGCAGGCGGATCCCTGTGAGTTCGAGGCCAGCCTGGGCTACCAAGTGAGCTCCAGGAAAGGCGCAAAACTACGCAGAGAAACCCTGTCTCGAAAAAACCAAAAAAAAAAAAAAAAAAAAAAAAAAAGAAATCATGTGTAGAACTCATCACAGGATGGGATTTCTAATTCATTTTATTATAATTTCCCAGCCCTTCTCTGGTGAACAGTAGGAGTTTGGTCAAGTATGGGGGTAGGCATTCAAGTGTCATCTAGGCACCAGGCTGGGAGATCCATCAACTGAAGACAGGCACCCCACTGAAGTCCCGTATGTCCCCAACCTACCATGTGTGGGAGGACTTGGAGCTTGGTCCTCAAAGGTGAGATACTAGATGATTACCAAGGGCACAACAGAATGGACTTTAGATAACTGGCTAGTGTCATTCTACTCAGAGTTCCCTCAAATTCAAACAAAAGGCTCCGCTGCAAACTGCTCTGTAGACCTCTTCGAAGGATGAAAACAGCCTATATCTGTTGTTTGAGATGTAACACGGATCTTCAAAGGTCTTATTAAGCCGGGCGGTGGTGGCGGACGCCTTTAATCCCAGCACTCGGGAGGCAGAGCCGGGCAGATCTCTGTGAGTTGGAGGCCAGCCTGGGCTACAGAGTGAGTTCCAGGAAAGGCACCAAAGCTACACAGAGAAATCCTGTCTTGAAAAACCAAAACAACAACAACAAAAAAGTCTTATTAATTAAAAAAAAACAGAGCCAGACATTGGGGTGAAAGCTGAAAGATCAGAGAAGCAGAGTAAGCCAGCCACAGTTCTTACCTCTAGGAAATCCTCAGTCTCAAGAAGAGAGTTCCTGTTTCCTCATGCTTTAAATACCTTTCTGTGTCCTGCCATATTACTTCCTGAGATTAAATGTGTGGGTGCTTCCCAAGCAAAGACATGAGATCTCAAGTGCTGGGATTAAAGGTGTGTGCCACCATGCCTGGTTCTGTTCCCAGTGTGGCCTCAAACTCACAGAGATCCTCCTGAGTGATAGGATTAAAGGTGTGTGTCACCACTGCCTGACCTCTATGTCTAATTCTAGTGGTTGGCTTTGTCCTCTGATCCCTAGACAAGCTTTATTGAGTTACCCAATACATCACCACATGTATCATCAGAGAAAACCTGAGCAGGGATGGCTCTCATGATAATGGCAGGATGGAAGGCTTGAGGGAAGCTAGCCAAGCAGAACATCAATAGAAACTCTGCTTTTGGGGTGGTGTGTGGATTGACAGCCCACAGGCCACCTACTTCCTCCTCTGACTCTTACCAACAGAACCACTAAGTTTAGAGGGTCTATTTTTATCCTCAGACTCTAATCACTTTGATTTTCTGTTCATTTCCTCTTGTGTGTGTGTGTGTGTGTGTGTGTGTGTGTGTGTGTGTGTGTGTGTGTTTAAATCCCCCTGGGTTCATCCTCAGTAAGGTACCTACTTTATAAGAAAAAAGGCAAAGTTTACAAAGCATATGCTTGTGACAGAAGGAGAGACACCCTCCTTCTGGTCTCTTGCATTTTCTACTGTACAACTCAAATGAGCTCATAAGCTGCTTGATATCTGCTAATTTCAGAATATGAATGCACATGCAGTTCCTGGGCTCGCCGGAAACAGTCATTTGTAGAGTGGAGATGGGAGACTGAATGAGCTGTCCTGTCGCTCCCCAAAGCAGGTGAAAACACTTTAACTCATCAACCAAACTGAGCCATGTGTACCTATAGATGACAATTAGATTGTTTGAACACCAGTTTCCCCTCCAGCTCCAGAGGCAAACAAAAGGATGTTGGATAATAGTTTCTTCCAGTCCCTAATGGATATTCCACCACTGCTGTGATGAAAATAAGCCATCTCTGAGTAACCAACCACAGGCTTCTTTTCAGATGTCTCACTGTACAAGGGAAGGATGATACTCTACCAGACATAAGGTTCATACAAATAAATCATGCTTTTGGAAATCTCAGATGGAGACAGTAGACTTCTGCATACTCCGAAAAAGTCATAAAATATAGCATGTTTGTCTGTGACAAAACAAGAGGCCTTGGTGGCTGACACACACCATAACATCTTTATCTTCTGCTCCCCCCCCAAGACAACTGTTTAAATTTGATGTACATTTATACGGTCTTTACAAAGATTAACTTGTCCTGTCTCTGTAACTACTCTTTGAAGTTAGTCCAGATACTATCATCAACCTCAGCTCCATTTTGCAGGAAATTGAGCACAGAGTCACCCAGCCCACCTGATTCAACTCTAGCACAGGGCCCTGCTCTGACTCACTCTGCCAACCTACCATTTTTCCCCTCGTGTATATGTATGTGTGGTATGCCTGTGTGGAAATGGGTGCTTGCATGTGTGCACACATGTGTGTGCAAGTGTGCATGTGGAGGCCCAAGGCTGACGTTGGCAGTCTTCCTCAGCTGCTCACCTTATGCATGGAGGCAAGGGGTTTCAGTTGAATCCAGAGCTTGTGGATATGGCTATGAATTTGTCCTTACCAGTCCCTGTTTCTACCTTCCCTGGGCTAAAATTATAGACATGTCACCAGACACACCTGGCATTTACATGTGCTCTGGGAATGAATCCAAAATCTGGTCCTTACATTTATATGGCAAGTGCTGTAACCCCTGAGCCATCTCCCTAACTCACTGTTTTTGTTCACAAGATTTAAATACATTCAGTTCCTTCTGTGTTTTAAAATAGTGCTGTAACAACAACAAAAGGTGCACACATTATGTCCTCAATGCATGTGTTAAGGACTCTGCAGGAAAAAGTGGGCGGAGATCATGCACAAGATGGTGGGAAGTGTCCTACTAGCCTACACAGGCTTACAGAGTAGCCCCCATCCCAGTTTTATGGTGATATTTTATTTGTGCTGAAATGTGATTTTATTTGTATTTTAATAAAGAAAGTTGCCTGGGGATCAGAGCTAAAAGGAGCCATTTAGCAGAAGTCCAGCGGTGGTGGCAAATGCCCTTAATCCGATCACATGGCAGGCAGAGTCCCTGTGTGGTCAAGGGCACAACCAAGCATGGTGACTGAACTTTTAATCCTAGTACTAACCATAGAGACCTAGAGGTCTGTATAGACAGGCAGTGGTGAGGAAATCATGTGGTTGGGTTTAGAGCCAATAAGAAGGCAGAACAGAAAAGCAATAAAAAGACAGTCACACAGGAGACGGTGTCTCTCTCAGGGGAAGGACGGCAGTGAGTGGTAAGCTAAAGGCTATTTGCTAGTGCTCTGATTTCTTGGGCTTTTAACTCTGTATTTGGCTCTGTGTTTCTTATTTAATACGACCATTTAGAATTTTGTCTATACCAGTTCTTCCATCATGGGCTGAGTCAGACTGGAGGATCTGACCTGTTTCCCTGTTCTTTTTTCTATGCTTTAGTTCCTGAATTCATATTGCCCACTGAACACTATATAATTTCCTGAGATTATTTATTCGTTAATCCATCTCATGAACTCCTCTGTGTGTCAGACTTACGCTGGCATGAAAAACACTGGAGTCTCTTCTAGTAAGTGAAGAATGGGACTAGACTGAAAAAGCAGGGGATGGCAAACCCTGAAGTTAATGTCAATCCTGGGTACCTCAGACAGATCCTAGAAGAGTGATGTATCCTATATGCATTGAACATCCACACTATATTAGTCAGGGTTCTCTAGAGTCACAGAACTTATGGAGTGAATCAATCTCTCTCTCTCTCTCTCTCTCTCTCTCTCTCTCTCTCTCTCTCGTGTGTGTGTGTGTGTGTGTGTGTGTGTGTGTGTGTGTGTGTGTGTGTGCACATATGTGGGAATTTATTGAAATGACTTACAGGCTGCAGTCCAACAGTGGCTAACTGTGAACAGAAAGTCCAAGAATCTAGTAGTTGTTCAGTCCCATGAGGCTGGGTGTCTCCGCTGCTCTCCTGTAGATGCTGGAATCCTGAAGAAGTGGACTGCAAAGCCAGTGAAGGAATGAAGGTGCTGATAAGGTATGGAGGGTAAGCAGGCGAAGAACGAATCCTTCCTTCTTCCATTCTCCTTATATAGGCTGCCAGCAGAAGGTGTGACCCAGATTAAAGGTGTGTCCTTCAGCCTTAAGATCTGGATTAAAGGCATGTTGTCTTCTTGCCTCAAGATCCAGATCACAAGTGTGCCCTCCTGTGGTGATATTTCATTTGTGCTAAATTGTGATATTTTATTTGTATGTTAATAAATAAAATTTGCCTGCAGATCAGGGTCATAGACAGCCATAAACAGAAGTCAGGCAGTGGTAGCACATGCCCTTAATCCAATCACATGGCAGGCAGAGTCTCTGTGTGTTCAAGGACACAGCCAAGCATGGTGACACATGCCTTTACTCCCAATACCATAGAAACCTGGAGGTCTGTATAGACAGGCAGTGATGAGGAAGTGATGCGTCTGGGCTTAGAGCCAATGAGAAGGCAGAACAGGAAGGCAATAAAGGCGCAGGTTAGACAGGAAGAGGCTCTTTTGGGAAGCTACGGTGAGGTGGTAAACTAAGGTTAGTTAGTGGCTATTGCTCTGATCTCTATGGCTTGCACCCCTGTATTTGGTTCTGTGTTTCTTATTTAATAAGACTGTTTAGAAATTCATCTACACCCTCAATTTCTGAATTATAGTTCATTTCAGATACAGTCAGGTTGAAAACCAAGAATAGCCATCACGTATCCTAAATGGTGACAGTATGAGTCACAGTGAATATTAACTGTCTTTATGTCCCTGGCTTGATTATGTAAGCAAACAGGATAAATTCAATGCTTTTGAAGAAAGACTGTTAATAAAAGGTAATTACAGATACAGTTATAAATGATCTGATATACATTATACTTCTAGGGTAGATGGTATTGAACACAAAGATGCCCTGATACAACAGTACTTTTCACAGTAGCTCCTTATCCAGTCTGACCATTCCTCATTTTAGAAGTTTACAAGGCACACAATACTGGACACTAGGAAATTGAATTGTGATTTCCAGACAATCTTCAGGAGAGATTTGGTAGTTTCATGGGTGATGTGTCATGGAAGGACATGCCGGAGAGTCAGAGGCAGAAGTTGACTGAGTACAGAGGGTGAGGAAAAGAGCCACTGAGCACATATGTGACTCCAGGCTGTTCTCTGTAAGCCTAGCCTCGTCTTCCAGTGAGTAGAAGGCAGCAGTAGCTAACCCTACAGTCTTTGAAGATTGTATTACTTGAGCATAATGGCCCTTCATGTTCTTTGTGGGGATAACAGATAGTCGTTTCTTCTGTCCTTTTATGTACTTCTGTATGCATAGCTGAGGAAGGGGGGTCCTTCTGAACCAGAATTAGCCAAATTAGGTGGGTAAGGACTGCTGGGGGATGTTTATACCTTTTTGATTAGACCTGTGCCCTGTGCATTTAGTTTCTTTCAGCAGCAAGGTAGTAAGTGTTTTGGAGAGAACCAATCTCAACAAGAACACACGTTTCTTTTTATGCTCAGCTCTGTGATTTTCTTTCAGAAGAACACTTTGG